ACATATTTAAAACCGTTTTTGTTCCCTTTTCTAATGAAAATTTTTCATAGTTTTACAGTAAAGCTATTCCAAGTCCCTGATACCAAGATACCACCTAATGTTCTCGAGATATAAAAGATCCTAGTTTCCAAAATCTAGTACTTTTACCTTTTTTTATCCCACAATTTCTCTCAATATGATTCACAGTAGGCTTTGCGCTTTTCCATGGCCTTCCGCTTTTCAAATTTAACACCTCCTTATACCCTACGAAACGGTTCTGCATTTAAATAATTTTGTGGTTACTTGAATCCAAAAATCCCTAGGCCGTTGAACTGCGAGAAACATTTGGTTCATTTAGTTTGTTATGCCTATCACACCTTATCTGTACTTTCTCTTTTTTGTACGTCAAGTGTGCAATATTCAGCAAAATTATTTTGCCTATTTGAAAAGGCTCCTGATGTAGCCGTCGTTTCTTACTACTAAAGAGACCGTTCACTTGAATTTATTTTTTCAAATCGGTGTAATGAGCAATTTTCCTCTCTTGCTATTTCTTTGTAGCATCATTTCGCATATTCAGTACCTACAGGATTTTTTTCTTGGCTTACACCTATCAGCGAATAAGCCAAAAGGGGTCCAATTTTTTTTCGAACTATTTCTGTTTGCCTTCAATTAAACCTTCTTGGCTTTTGAGGATGGTACCGTTTTCATCCTTGATGTAAATTGCTTCTAGTTTTTGTGTCTGCTGGATACTCGTTCATTAATCTCTGTTATTGGAAAGTCTTGGACACACTTCGTTGTTTTTGCTGATACAGGTAGCGCTTCCAATGTTATGTATTGTAGAGCAATTTTTCGCCAATGGTTAGAATACTTTCTGGATCTATCTTGAAATCCAAAGCAAGAAGGCAGTGTGAGTAGTTTTCCGCCATTATCAAAAGCTCCTGGTCGATCTTTTCGGATTTCAGTTTCCTTGGATTTCGATGTACATACTGCCAAATATTGTCAACGCTAAATTGTCAGCAGCTAAATTTTTGTATATAAAAGCCTTTATGCTTCCAGTTGTTCCAAGCCGTTCTTAATTGCAGAAACTTTTGAGTTGAAAGCTACTCCCGCTGTTTAACAGTCCGGTGACCGATTTGTCGTTTAATTGTAACTCCATATCAAACATTTGGTTTTGTTAGCGGAGAAAACCTTGTTTACGTTGGTTTGCTCCATCTTTTAAACCCAAAGACTTTTGCTTAGTGTGGTGTACATACTGCCGAATATTGTCAACGCCAAATTGTCAGCAGCTAAATTTTTGTATATAAAAGCCTTTATTCTTCCAGTTTTTCCATGCCGTTCTTAAGTGCAGAAACTTTTGAGTTGAAAGCTACTCCCGCTGTTTAACAGTCCTGTGTTCGATTTTTCGTTTAATTGTAACTCCATATCAAACATTTGTTTTTATTAGTGGAGAAAACCTTGATTACGTTGGTTTGCTCCATCTTTTAAACCCAAAGACTTTTGCTAAGTGTGGGTAGAGCTACCGCAAGTAAAACAAACACGGCAGTTTTTTGCACAAAATCAGCTTAGGTTCTTCTAAAAGTGCGTTGCTGATTTTGCAGGTAGATAATCAGAAGGTCAAAAGTATCATAGTAACCGAGGTTACAGTCATGAGTCCCTTCATCATGTATTCCAGTCAAAATCCTTGGAATTTTCTAGATATGGAAGTGATAATGATAAAAGAAGATGTCAAGTGTTTAAGTCCTTTTCAATTAAAATCGATACGGGTTATGCTTCTTCAATAAGAACACGCAACTCGACACGAGATAATATAATATACAAGTGTTACAAGTAAAAAATTTCGTCGAAAGTTATTTTGTCATTTATTGTTCCAAGTACGCAAGCGGCGTTCGCAATCTGTATTGCCATGGAGATTCTCTGTTTTAAAAAGCTGCCTGCTCTGGGTTCCTCTGTGCATATATTTAGGTTCTTACAAAGCTTGCTCAAAAAAAACTTCTGTGCTGGGGCCGGCCGCGCTCTGAATTTCAAAAGCTAGCGGTTGAAAAAGATATCCATCATTTACAAGATCTTTATATTTGTCAATTTTTCGCTCTTCCGCTTCAGCGGCAGCCGTACCAGGGTTACAAACAGACCCGGCATTAATCCTACAAGGAGCTAAGGAGTCTACTACCGTTACATCCCATAAGAGCTGCTTACCATCAGCCCATGGAACGAGCGTCAAACCGTCTGGTTGCTTCTGATCGGTCCTGTAGAGGTGTCGTGGTTCTAAAACAGACGGAATGTGAGTAGATGATAGACTCTGCTTTACAAGGGCATGCACTTTTGAGGCAAGAAAGACCATGCCAACCATCCTCGGTAATGTCTTTTCCGCACACGCATTTATGCCGTTCGCATATTTTTGATTCTAATCGAAGTCCTATCGCAATTCTGAATTGTTGGTTCGACAGTTTTAACCTTAAATTTTTGCACGGGAAGACGTTCAACCATTGATATCCAAATCTATCTTGGAACGCGTTGAACCTTTTTACGTCCGTTGGTTCGAGTCGTAAAATCAAGTCTGCAATTTCGCTGTCAAAAATTGGCTCCGTCCAATTTTTTTGGATTTCATTTTCCGGAGCCATTTCAATTTTTCCAAGGTCAAACCACCGTTTAAGCGCATCATCATAGGTTCCATCCACATGCTCCAAACCAAAGATTTCGCTCAAGGCATCTTTCGCTCCTACTGCTGAGGCTAAGAAAGCGGGTAAAGCGAGTAGACGAGCGGAAGAAACGCCCAAGCCACCTTTGGCTGCCGGGAGAACTGCTTGTAAAAACTGGTTATCATCCATTTTCACGTTAGTGACCTTGCATAACGAATTTCTTAGTAATTTATCGTAGCGTTCCAAAAAATCATTTTGCAAAAAACAAGGGCTCGTACGCAAAAAATATAGGAGTTTTGGCATGCTAAAGCAATTTTTCAGGAGGTAAAAACCATAATGGGCGTCTAGTTTGTCAATGACATCCGAGATTTTTTCAAGCTCCCTAATTTTTTCGTCGAGTAATTCTTTTCGGCAAAGTTCGCCGATTGGAGATCCTAAAATGAGGAGTTCTTATTTTGTTTTTATTTTTATTTTGGGGCATATTTTTCGAAATTGTGTCAAAATTGAATTATACTGTGTACTAGTAGTCGGTCCCAAAAAACAAAGTTCACACTTCTCAGTGTTTAAGCTCAGGCCGTAAATTTGTTCCGATTTCAGAATGTTTTTAAGGTCCTGGAGTACTACCTCATAGTCTTCGGCTAAATTCCCATCATCTAAAAACAAGATGTTAATTTTCGACTCCAACTGTTTGACTAGTGTATGAATTGTTTCCGCAAAAAGGGGTGGGGCTTCAGGATCACCTTGCTGAGTTCCATCTTCTGACATTATGACAGAGCTTCCGTAAAAAAGGTAACTAGGTTTACCATACGCGCAATGGGTGCAATTATACAATTCGGGGCGATTTGAAAAAACATGATTCAGCATTGTTTCTCTGTTTAAAGAGTTAAAGGCATTCTTAAAATCTAGTTTTAAAAGAACAGTACATTTTGGATTGTCGTCGCGTTCAATTAGGTTTCGAAACGAGTGCGCAGCTATTTCTGCTCTTCGTTTGGTACCGCATCCTACCTGTACGTTTCCGAAAAAATTTTGTCGCTCGGAGAGGGCCTTGCTTCCAGCGCATTTAGACGCGATACGTCTCAGCGTGTTGCCTATGGCAATCGGTTTCAACCCTCCGTCTAATTTTATGAGGGCGGTAAGCTTTGCGCCAAAAAAGAAAGGTCTTAGTGGTTCCGGTATTATGAAATATCCAATGAGGTTTATCAGCTTAGTAAGCGATTTCAGAAAATTAAGTCCTGCACTGCCATTCGACTTACTAACAAGATCTTTAAAAATTTGAGGAAATATTTTATCAGGACCTGCTGCTGATCAGTTTGGAAAGGAAATTACCGCTTTGTATAGGTCGAAATCGGTTACGAAAAAACGATCCAACTTTTCTGGATTTGGAGCTGCAAATTTGGCTCGCTGCGGGTGCTTAGACAACAATTTTTGATAGTTATCAGTTGAAAAAAGGAGCTATTTTGTCATCCGAAGCAGCAAGCCTTATTCCTCCCTTTACATTTCCTTCATCGAGCTTACTACTTATTAACTTTATTCTCTGCTCGAGGTCACTCAGAGGCGGGCTTGAAACTTGGGGATGGGGTTTTGGAAGTGACACGTCATTTGCTTGAAATTTTTTATTTATCAAAGAGCTCATGCTTTTGGTCTGTTTGTGTCCACTTTTTTTCGGTTGCTCCAAAAAAAACAAGAACGACGTTAAAAAAATTAGCCATTTTGTAACATCTTCTACATTGTAGACGATGTCATTTATTTTGTCCGACAGACTTTCCGCCAAGGGAACACGCGAGTCCTTTGGTACTCTCTTGAGTACTCGGACATTTGAGATGGCAGTATTAACATAATTGTCTAGCACTAAATCATTACCTATTGTTGCTTTATTAACAGATTTTACATCAACTCATAAAGGACACTGAAACCATTGGGTTTTCTTAGAGTCGCTAAGAGAAATATTTACACAACTGATATGATACCAACTAGAACAACAATCATATCTAATCCAATTTATCAGTCCTGAAGGTTTTAAGCAATCTTTGCTTGTACACTCTTTGTTGTTTTTCCTCATCTTGACGCAGCATAAAGGTAAAAAAAAAGGATTTTGACTGGACTTTAGGGGACTGAACTAACCCATGATAAGCGGTTAGTGGGAATTTTACAAATCAGCAAATAAAAAAAAGACAACTAAATTAATTTAAATTTTAAAATCGAATTATAAAAATCAAAAACAAGGAACAATCTCACCCGAGCTCAGTAGGTCCAGCGCCGCACCACCAGACTCCTCAAGCCAGTTCCAGTTCCCCACCTCCCCACAGAAAGCCACTTGACAGACCAGTCTCTAAAATCCCTCAGAGGGCGCTCCACATACAGGCACAAACATCAAACATAACAAATCTATTTAATAAGTTTATCACAACAATTAGGCTAAATTGCTGTGATAAACTTAAACTTGAAACTTGGGGATGGGGTTAAACTTGAAACTTTGGCTAATAGTTATAAGTGTGTTGTGTAGCTTTTGAAATCGTTACAACCGGTGGATCCCTCCGGTATTAAAATCGGGAAACGGACTTTATCCTCCACGGTCATTATCCTCCAGGCGATATCCTCCACCATTATGCTCCATTTCTCAAACAGGGACTTTTTCCTCCATTTTTATCCCCCAATTTTATGAATTTGGATGTTTTCCTCCAATTAGTAAATTCAGTCAAATTATTAGATTATATCCAATATTTGATCATTTCAGACAAAAAATGGAACTTCCTGATCATTCCGCGTACGGGCAGCCCAATTATATGGAACAAGTTGACTTCGGAACATTTGGAGGATAAAGTCCGTTTCCCTTGAGAAACCATGAAATTTGCCATGCTCAACAAAAACCAACGAAATCGAAAACTTCAATTACGATTTAATTGAAATTATTAATTTTTGTTATTCAATTTCATCGCAGTTTTAATTGTCAGTTAATTTCTCCTATCTGCTTTGTTTTTTTTTCCGTTTCATTCTTCTCAATAAATGAAAAAGGCGCTTTTATACTCGGAGGACTTTATCCGCCATGGAGGATATCGCCTGGAGGATAATTACCGTGGAGGATAAAGTCCTGTACCCATTAAAATCTTCGAGACCGAACTTGCTGTTGCCATACTTCACTCCCACCATTTTTAAATATTATTTATTTTATCTCTACAGCTTGAGATTTTCTAGGTCCTACTTGCTGATATGAAAATAAAATAACGTTGTTTTTAGTCCTTTAAATACAGTTTATCCACTGTTAATTGGCAAATTGATTTTTTTCCGATCAGTTTTACTTATTTTCTTCAATTTTTCAATGACTTGAGCAATTGTTTTTCCAGTTTTCCTGGTTTTTGAAAAAACTTCAGTTTTAACGAGTGTTTACATTTTGTTTGATATTTCAATGGCGTCCGACACGATTGACATTTTTTGATCAATTCGAATTTTTCGAGGTAATCAGAAGGTCAAAAGTATCATAGTAACCGAGGTTACAGTCATGAGTCCCTTCATCATGTATTCCAGTCAAAATCCTTGGAATTTTCTAGATATGGAAGTGATAATGATAAAAGAAGATGTCAAGTGTTTAAGTCCTTTTCATTTAAAATCGATACGGGTTACGCTTCTTCAATAAGAACACGCAACTCGACACGAGATAATATAATATACAAGTGTTACAAGTAAAAAATTTCGTCGAAAGTTATTTTGTCATTTATTGTTCCGAGTACGCAAGCGCCGTTCGCAATCTGTATTGCCAGGGAGATTCTCTGTTTTAAAAAGCTGCCTGCTCTGGGTTCCTCAGTGCATATGCTTAGGTTCTTACAAAGCTTGCTCAAAAAAACTTCTGTGCTGGGGCCGGCCGCGCCCTGAATTTCAAAAGCTAGCGGTTGAAAAAGATATCCATCATTTACAAGATCTTTATATTTGTCAATTTTTCGCTCTTCCGCTTCAGCGGCAGCCGTACCAGGGTTACAAACAGACCCGGCATTAATCCTACAAGGAGCTAAGGAGTCTACTACCGTTACATCCCACAAGAGCTGCTTACCATCAGCCCATGGAACGAGCGTCAAACCGTCTGGTCGCTTCTGATCGGTCCTGTAGAGGTGTCGTGGTTCTAAAACAGACGGAATGTGAGTAGATGATAGACTCTGCTTTATAAGGGCATTCAGGTTTGAATGCCTAGAGAATCTCCCTGCACTTTTGAGGCAAGAAAGACCATGCCAACCATCCTCGGTAACGTCTTTTCCGCACACGCATTTATGCCGTTCGCATATTTTTGATCCTAATCGAAGTCCTATCGCAATTCTGAGTTGTTGGTTCGACAGTTTTAACCTTAAATTTTTGCAGGGGATGACGTTCAACCATTGGGATCCAAATCTATCTTGGAACGCGTTGAACCTTTTCACGTCCGTTGGTTCGAGTCGTAAAATCAAGTCTGCAATTTCGCTGTCAAAAATTGGCTCCGTCCAATTTTTTTGGATTTCATTTTCCGGAGCCATTTCAATTTTTCCAAGGTCAAACCACCGTTTAAGCGCATCATCATAGGTTCCATCCACATGCTCCAAACCAAAGATTTCGCTCAAGGCATCTTTCGCTCCTACTGCTGAGGCTAAGAAAGCGGGTAAAGCGAGTAGACGAGCGGAAGAAACGCCCAAGCCACCTTTGGCTGCCGGGAGAACTGCTTGTAAAAACTGGTTATCATCCATTTTCACGTTAGTGACCTTGCATAACGAATTTCTTAGTAATTTATCGTAGCGTTCCAAAAAATCATTTTGCAAAAAACAAGGGCTCGTACGCAAAAAATATAGGAGTTTTGGCATGCTAAAGCAATTTTTCAGGAGGTAAAAACCATAATGGGCGTCTAGTTTGTCAATGACATCCGAGATTTTTTCAAGCTCCCTAATTTTTTCGTCGAGTAATTCTTTTCGGCAAAGTTCGCCGATTGGAGATCCTAAAATGAGGAGTTCTTCTTTTGTTTTTATTTTTATTTTGGGGCATATTTTTCGAAATTGTGTTAAAATTGAATTATACTGTGTACTAGTAGTCGGTCCCAAAAAACAAAGTTCAAACTTCTCAGTGTTTAAGCTCAGGCCGTAAATTTGTTCCGATTTCAGAATGTTTTTAAGGTCCCGGAGTACTACCTTATAGTCGTCGGCTAAATTCCCATCATCTAAATACCAGATGTTAATTTTCGACTCCAACTATTTGACTAGTGTATGAATTGTTTCCGCAAAAAGGGGTGGGGCTTCAGGATCACCTTGCTGAGTTCCGTCTTCTGACATTATGACAGAGCTTCCGTAAAAAAGGTAACTAGGTTTAGCATACGCGCAATGGGTGTAATTATATAATTCGGGGCGATTTGAAAAAACATGATTCAGCATTGTTTCTCTGTTTAAAGAGTTAAAGGCATTCTTAAAATCTAGTTTTAAAAGAACAGTACATTTTGGATTGTCGTCGCGTTCAATTAGGTTTCGAAACGAGTGCGCAGCTATTTCTGCTCCTCGTTTGGTACCGCATCCTACCTGTACGTTTCCGAAAAAATTTTGTCGCTCGGAGAGGGCCTTGCTTCCAGCGCATTTAGACGCGATACGTCTCAGCGTGTTGCCTATGGCAATCGGTCTCAACCCTCCGTCTATTTTTATGAGGGCGATAAGCTTTGCGCAAAAAAAGAAAGGTCTTAGTGGTTCCGGTATTTTGCCATCTCCAATGAGGTTTATCAGCTTAGTAAGCGATTTCAGAAAATTAAGTCCTGCACTGCCATTCGACTTACTAACAAGATCTTTAAAAATTTGAGGAAATATTTTATCAGGACCTGCTGCTGATCCGTTTGGAAAGGACATTATCGCTTTGTATAGGTCGAAATCGGTTACGAAAAAACTATCCAACTTTTCTGGATTTGGAGCTGCAAATTTGGCTCGCTGCGGGTGCTTAGATAACATTTTTTGATAGTTATCAGTTGAAAAAGGAGCTATTTTGTCATCCGAAGCAGCAAGCCTTATTCCTCCCTTTACATTTCCTTCATCGAGTTTACTACTTATTAACTTTATTCTCTGCTCGAGGTCACTCAGAGGCGGGCTTGAAACTTGGGGATGGGGTTTTGGAAGTGACACGTCATTTGCTCGAATTTTTTTATTTATCAAAGAGCTCATAATTGTGGTCTGTTTGCGTCCACTTCTTTTCGGTTGCTCCAAAAAAAGCAAGAACGACGTTAAAAAAATTAGCCATTTTGTAACATCTTCTACATTGTAGACGATGTCATTTATTTTGTCCGACAGACTTTCCGCCAAGGGAACACGCGAGTCCTTTGGTACTCTCTTGAGTACTCGGACATTTGAGATGTCCGAGTACTCAAGAGAGTACTCGGACATCTCTTGAGTACTCGAAATATCGAGGAAATATCTCAAAGATAATGGGTTGCTGGCTGTGCCTTTTGATAAGGGGGTTGGTTTTTGCATAATGAGGAAACAAACATATGAATCAAAGCTGGAATCCTTGTTGCAATCTGCTAAGTTTGTGAAAAAAGATGCAACCACTGATGAGGTGATACTGAAAATTGAGAAAGAACTTAACAAAGAGTTACTAGCCATGAACAAAAGAGACGAGATAAGTGATCAGTTATATTCTAAGATACGATCAACAGGGGGGCAACCCGCCCGTTTGTACGGTTTAGCTAAGGTACACAAGGATGAGACACCCCTACGACCTGTACTATCACTTCCCGGCAGCTCGTATGAGAATCTTAACAAAATGCTTGCGAAGTTTTTTGACAACATCGATGGAGCAAATATAGAAACCAATACTAAAGAGGCTAGAGAAAAAATAGAAAACATTGCTCTAGATCCGGATGAAACCATAATATCTCTTGATGTGAAAAATTTGTACACCAACGTTCCCCTGAAGGAGGCAATTGAAATTGCTTTACAGAAGCTGTACAGCCAGGAGTCTCCTCCTGAAATTCAAAGAGCAACCATGAAAAGGCTTTTGAATATGGCGGTCAGCAAAGTATATTTCAAGTGTAATGATTCATGGTATGTACAAGTTGATGGTTTAGCAATGGGAGCGTCCCTCGCTGTAATTCTGGCAAACTTATGGCTGAAAGAATACGAATTTGCTCTACGACAACAAATACCGGTGGGAACGGGGGTACAGCAAATTAATGACAAAAACGGCTTGTGCCCATGTTGCAGCAGGAAAGTCACATATAGATCAAAGGGGGTTGAATGCGAGAGTTGCCGAAACTGGTATCATCTAAAATGCGGAAAAATATCCGATGACGTATACGCATCAATAACCGAGATAGTCTGGTACTGTGAAAGCTGCTGCCGAGCTAAGAACAAGGAGAAGGATACTCCCCAGGTGAAATTGTTCCTCAGGTATGTGGATGACATTGTTAGAACAGTCAGAGGGGAGCCGAGTTGTCTTCTCGATGCCGCCAATTCTCTTCATCCAAATTTGCAGTTCACTCTAGAGAAAACTAATTCGGAGGGGAATTTGCCGTTCCTGGATTTGAACATAAATATATCGCAGGATAGGCGTGTAACTTGCAGTTGGTATCAAAAACCAACAGATACAGGGACTATACTGAACTATAGAAGCTGCGCCCCAACTCAGTATAAGCGTAGTGTTATCCAAGGCACTGTACACAGGGTTTTTAGGAGTACATCTAGCTGGGAGCAATTTGATAAGGCTATGGAAACTAATAGGGCGCAATGGCTGACAAATCAGTACCCTGAAAATTGGTCCGCAAAGGTGGCTTCAGACGCCTTGTGCAAGATCATCGAGGGTAAAGGCAAGCCCCTGGATAGTGACAGGGGTTTGTCAGTTCAATCACCAAAGGATGAAAAGCCCCCAATGCTGATGGTGCAATATAGAGGTAACCAGAGCCAATATTTTGCTAACAGGTTACGAAAATTAACGAACGTTCAAGTGGTTTTCACCACAAGAAAACTACAATCATGTTTACCATCACTGAAGTCAGCATTTTCTAATGACCTCAAGTCAAGAGTGGTTTATAAACTGTCATGTAGTGGATGCACTTCCACCTATGTCGGACAAACTGTTCGACATTTGACCACTAGAATTGAGGAACATAGGAAAGCAGACTCACCGGTAGGCCTCCACCTTCAGCAATGCCAACTTGAGGGAAATAGCGCAGATCTTAGTTGGGAAATTATAGATAGGTCAAACAACCAAACAAAATTGCTAACACTAGAGGCAATACATATCAGGAAAGAGAAACCGGGCTTGAACACGCGCGATGAGTTTAGGAGCAGGGAGTTAACACTGAAAATTTAGTCCCAAAATATTTTTGGTTTTTTATTCAAAACGTACATGTCTAAATCGAAATTATGACTCAGAAACTTCCAGACAAATTAATTTTAAAATGTTTAATTAATTTTAGAGGTTAAAAGTATTTTAATCTTAATAGTAATTTAGAGGTCAACTGTGATTGGCTAATTTTTTATCATGATGGTTTAGAACCAAATTGTATGTGATTTATTGTAAATAACATTTGTAAATTGATGTTTTATCGTCATTTAGAGTAGTTTATTGTAAAAATCCTGACGATGCACATAGTTGCGAAAACGTTTGAAATTTACTTTTTAGCAAAAATTTCATTAACATAATTGTCTAGCACTAAATCATTACCTATTGTTGCTTTATTAACAGATTTTACATCAACTCATAAAGGACACTGAAACCATTGGGTTTTCTTAGAGTCGCTAAGAGAAATATTTACACAACTGATATGATACCAACTAGAACAACAATCATATCTAATCCAATTTATCAGTCCTGAAGGTTTTAAGCAATCTTTGCTTGTACACTCTTTGTTGTTTTTCCTCATCTTGACGCAGCATAAAGGTAAAAAAAAAGGATTTTGACTAGACTTTAGGGGACTGAACTAACCCATGATAAGCGGTTAGTGGGAATTTTACAAATCAGCAAATGAAAAAAAAGACAACTAAATTAATTTAAATTTTAAAATCGAATTATAAAAATCAAAAACAAGGAACAATCTCACCCGAGCTCAGTAGGTCCAGCGCCGCACCACCAGACTCCTCAAGCCAGTTCCAGTTCCCCACCTCCCCACAGAAAGCCACTTGACAGACCAGTCTCTAAAATCCCTCAGAGGGCGCTCCACATACAGGCACAAACATCAAACATAACAAATCTATCTAATAAGTTTATCACAACAATTAGGCTAAATTTCAATTTTTTCAATTTTTTGAAACTCATGTGTCTTTCCTGACACGTAGTGTTTTCTCTGTTGCCATTTTAGTACGACGCGGTATCGATGCGAGTGTCCATGCAACTGCTAAGTTGGATAAAAAATATTTCAAATTTCACCATTTCAAATTCTTCTCTATATCATACATCTTGAAGTAGTCATAATAATTTTCAGAAATTAGATTCAGTTTATAAAATATTGAAGCTTAGTTTCGGTTATCATTGAACACTTGCCCACTGGTTTCGGTAGATTCAAGGTTTTTCTTATTGTTCCTTGTTTTCCCTTTGTTGTCATTTTTATCAATAATATTAGCTGAGCAAGATTGTGGATGTTTTCAGTTTCGTTTATAAAATTGTATACAACTAACTTGTACCACTCGACAAGTCGTTTGTCTCTGTGTCATTATCACTAAATAACGACTTCAGTTCTGGTTGAAGATCCATCATTATTCTGTGGATTTCATCATTTTCATCTACTGCCTTGTAATCCGTTGCTGTTGATCCTCGCAGCCTTCGCCCAAAAACTTTGCGCATGATTTGAGCGCTAGTGACGACATTTGTTCCAAAGAGAACCAGTTAAAGACGAGAGCGTCTCTCCGCATTGCGCACGCCATTGCTGCTCCTTCGCAAATCATCAAACTTATTTAGATACATCGTTAAGAGCACTTTTTTTCACCTTAACCTCTTTCCTTCTTTCGAGTCGTACTCTTCTCGGGTCTATTCCAGCATTCACCAGCTGAGTCGCAACTGGGTTGCAACTCAGTCCTGACATACGGCAGAGTTAGCAGAGTATGTACTTCCGAGGTTATCTTTATTCTTTTCTCGGAAATACATAACTGTCATCTGCCCTAAAATTCAAAGTCGGTGCGTGAAACATCAACGTGGAAACGATATTAGAAGAATTGCTCTCAGAAAGGCAGGTGTTCCCTCGAAGTTAGAATTGGCTGGGCTGTTGATTGACGATGGAAACGCCCAGACGGCGTTACTTACATTCCATGGACTGGTGGATCTGTTCTTGAGTGGGATTTCACTTGCGTGAGTCGTCAAGCGCAGCGTAATATCAATGATGGTTTCCATGATGGACCATCAGTTGGTAATCTGACTGAGGAGAAGAAGAGGAGTCTCTATTCTGGACTGCCTCGATCATGTCAGTTTGTACCTATATCTGTGGAGAACGTAAGCGGCATTAGTGAATCGAGCTACAGAACTTTATCTGCCATTGGACGGAGAATTGTATCAAGTATCGGTGATAAGCGTGCTGTCACTTTCCTCAAGCAGAGGTTGAGCATAGCAGTACAGAGAGCAAACGCTGCTTGCATTGCTGAGCTATGCACAAACACAACAGACTATCAGCCAACTGTATTTTTTTGTGTTACGACGTTAACTTTTAAAAATTGTTTCAAAACAAACTTTCAAAGTTAGAAGTTAAAAGCATTTTTAATCTAATTGATTAGTTTTAAAGAGCAACTGTGATTGGCTATTTTTTTTCCATGATGGTTAAGAACGAAAATTTTTTAAATTGTTTGTTAATATTTTGTTAAGTTTCAAAACTGAAGCGGAAGAGCAAAAAAATGATAATTATAAAGACATAGTAGATGATGGATATCTTTTTCAACCGCTAGCTTTTGAGATTCAGGGCTTTTTATTGCCATTTAGATTAGTTTATTGTAAAAAACTGACAATGCACATAGTAGGGAAAACGTTTTAAATTTATCTGACCTATAACTTTCAAAGGGATTTTAGGCTGGGCTATGTGATGAGGGACGAATGATGTAACATCAGATATTTATTATTCTCATGAAAAAATCGTTTAATAACCTCAATAGTTTCAGATCATCTGCTGAGACAGACTTGTGAATCATCTCAAATAGATTTGAAAATGGTAAGTATTGTCTTTCAGCGAGATATTTTCGTTTTATTATAGCTTTTAACTAATTTATCGGACAACGTATTGAATTTCTGAAATAATTCTGTCCTTCAAATTTTAACTTAATCGAAATACTTCTTTGAAGTTTGGCGTCTGCCTGTTTGTAGGCGTTTTGATTTTTTTTTGCTCTGAAAAAAATTGCATGGCAAATTGCTGTCGAATGAAAAAGTTTTTGTTCCGAGCATTTGAAAAATGGGGAGGAACTTCGTTTTCGGGTGTGTTTAAGTTTTTTGTTTTCCACGTGAAATCAGGTACCACAAATAATTATCGGATTGATTCGAGTGATATATCATATTGAAGCCGTTTCAATTGTGATTCGAACGACATAAAAATTTCAATTTTTGGTCTAATTTCGAACTAAAATGGTGTGAGCGTGTAGGCTTACAATAGCTTATTTGAGCTTACTTTAAGCCGTGAAAACTTAGTTGTACTCAAATAAAAGTAGTTTTTGGAGTTTTTTAGCGCCAGTATGTAAACAGAAGTTAAAAATTTCTGCAAATTTTTTTTTATTTTAAATTTTTTTGAATGTTTTTTCGTTTTTCTAGTCAGTTTTCTTCAAAAACGGTCTTTCGTCTGGCCTATTTACTATGAATCATCTATGTCTAAGTTTTTTTAACGCTCAGACCTTTTTATCACACGATGCGGAAAAAACGACACGAAATGAAATTGTCCAAAAAGCGCAATATCCTGCAGCATTGCTCTTCTGTCGTTCAAACACAGTTTTGAAAACTCGATTGCAGTTTTAACGGCATTTCACCGTCTCAAGGTCAGAATTATTTCTAAAATTTAACACGTTATCCGATAAGTTTGTTATAAGCTATAGAGAGTTGCGAAAAGTTCAGACAGACAAAATTGATTACAAAGAGCAATTGTAACACTTTGACAAAGTTTCGCATGCAATTTTGTTTTTCAGACAATCTTGAGACATAATTTTGGACTGAAAAGTTAGGTTTTGCACGCAACATTTTTTCAAAATAGGTAAATTGTTCTTCTTAATTATATTTGTCCGTCCGAACTTTTTGCTACTATAGTTAGTAGCAAAATGATCGGTCACACAGAATTAATTAAAATGAGCAATCAGTACTTTTCGACGTAATTTTTCATGCAAAATCTGAAGCCGAACAACCTTGAATTTTTTGTTAGAATTGAAAAATGCAAGGTCTTCGTCTATCCAATACTGCGATGGAAATCCAGATTTTATTTTAAAACATTTAGCAGTTTCAACAAAAGTGAAGATGATCAAATCATTAAAAAGTTAGAGACTAATCGCAGAAAAACATTAGCCACCCGATTATAATTTTCCTGTTTCAAGGTTTACTATTCGACGCTTCGGATGCAAATGTCCGTGGTTATAGGTTTTGAGCTATAACTGTGCTTTATGAACTTAAGACGTTATGTTTATTTCAGTTTTAATTTCCGTTGATGTCTAGACAGTTGCGCGTTTTGATTAATTCTGTCTGTCCAATTTTTTACAACTATAATTATATGAAGTTGATTATACAATCAAATTTTCAAAACTGCAATGAAACTATCAAAAGAGCAAACCAAAAAGTTTGCGCTTTTACAGAGGTCAGTTTTTCCATAAAATGCCGACAAAAAGGCAAACTTCAAAAAAAAAAATTTCTTGTAAGTTTCAGAATTATTTCTAAAATTTAAGACTTTTGGTAAATTGTTAAAAGCTATAGACGTTCTTCAATGTTTAGGAGGGCTTGAGGAAATTGCCTGTTCGCAGCAAAAGTAGTTTCACTCAAATCAAAGAGGGGAAGTTCGTCTCGAAAAAGGTACTGCATTTAACTTCGAAGAGGGATCTGTTAAAGTTAATCAAAACACGTGTAAGCCATAACCAGTACAGTTGTGATGTTTCAGTTATCTGACAAGAGCGATGTTTATTTTTCAACTGAGCGCTCAATTACTTCCTCAGGTATAACAATAACTAGCTCCCATAAAAGATTGGCTGACTGTGTCGGTGTTGTTTTACTGCTATGTTTTCAGAAATTATCCCGGAAAAATCAACAATAATTTGCAGTTATTTGCAAAACCAGTGGCGATTAAAGGTGAGTTAAGGAAATTGGTTCTAAAAAGAGGGAAAAAACCTTCCCTTTTCCTCGATTTTTTAGTTTCAAACCATCGTAAGAGCTAAAGTTCAACATAGTTTGTACGATAAGAGAAACTGTTTTTTTTTGAACTAGCATATTTCTTTTCTCTTTTTCCTTGAGCAAGTGGGTATATAATCAGGAACCAGAAATTTTCTAGCAAACAACTTAAAAATGTGTAAGAATAATTTCGGCTCAATTCTGTATCGGCGATTTCCAGACCTTTTGCTTTCTCATTCGGCTGATAGTATATTGGCTTAGCGGCCTCATTTTTAGTAGTTTGATGAGCAGAAAAAAAAATTTGAAAAACATTTTTCGGCAACGTGTGCTCTAGAATGGTCAGCTTTGTTACCGCTTTGTAACTTAAGTTTTGATGCTAAATCGTCTTCGTCTGATTATTTGTCAGTTAGTTTGTAGTGCTAGGTTTGTCTTGTATAGCAAAGGGTGGGAAGCTTCGCCATGTCTCACTGTTTATATTGGTAGTAAATTGAAACTTTCTTGAAAAGCGAAAACACTTAGTTAAGTTTGAAAACAATTTATCCGATCTAGTACAAGTACATAGCGTTTTACCCCAATGATCTATACTTGGGAGTGCGGTCTGTATTTAGACAACCGCGTATTCAAACAGTGTATTAACCAATCAGAATTGAGACAAAGAAAGATATGAAATTCATTTCTTCCTTGTCTCGATTCTGATTGGTTAATACAGTGCCTGAATACGCGGTTGTCTAAATACTGCTACTTGGTAGGCAGTTTACTTTTCCTATTTTTATAAAAGATTTAATAGACGCAAGCGCACACCTTGAAATTCACGGTTTTGCTGATGATTTTAAACTCATTGCTTTAAATGCAGTCGACTTAGCTCGAGAACTAATAAAGTGGTCTCTTGAAATTTCTATGGCAAAAATTGGGGACCGACCTTTTACCAGACCGACCTTTTACCAGAAAAGTTAAAACATGTACCTTTTACCAGACTCGATAAACAAATTTGATTGACAGATGTATTGACGCCGTTTAGTTTGGTTAAAGACAATGCTTATACGGTTTTCTCAGCAAACTTCTGTTTTTTCTAACCGCTTCCTTTTTGAATCTTCCACTAACTTAAGTTGGGGAGGGTTCTCATACTTGAAAGACCGAATGCTTGAAAAATTTCAGCCAATCAAAATTGCTAAGCGTTTCTATTGGCTAAATGTCTTTCTCACAAAATCGAAGTCAATATTAACAGAAAATGTTTTAAATCAGTAGAAAATAATCAAAAATATTCAGATAAACATCAATATTTATGAGTTCAAGTTCATAAGAACTTTTTATTCTTGAAAACGCATCTGTTTATTATCTAATCGGTCAGTATTAACACTATTGGCCTGGATTTATTTTCTTACTTCGAGATTTTTACGATTTACTTTGGGATTTTGAATACTCAATTCTGATTGGCTGAAAGTAAGCTATAATAAATTTCAAGCATGAGGGACGCCACCACTTCAGTTTATCTTAATTGAATTATTGCATTGTGGTCTGGTAAAAGACCTAGCCCCGCAACAATTACAGGGAAATGCAATTTGCTAAACCTAAGTAGAAACTTAGGGGCTAGGTTTTATTACCAGACCGACCTTTTGCCAGACCACAATGTAATAATTCAATTAAGATAAATTTAAATAAGTGGAAGATTCAAAAAGGAAGCGGTTACAGCAAACAAAACTTTGATGAGAAACCGTGAAATCATTCTTTAACCAGACTAAACGGCGTCATTACATCTGTCAATCAAATTTATTTATCGAGTCTGGTAAAAGGTCCATGTTTTAACTTTTCTGGTAAAAGGTCGGTCCCCAGAGGGGCTAGGTCTTTTACCAGACCGACCTTTTACCAGACCACAATGCATTATTTCAATTGAGATAATTTTAAGTTAGTGGAAGATTGAAAAAGGAAGTGGTTAGAACAAACAAAACTTAGCTGAGAAAACCGTGAAATCATTGTCTTTAACCAGACTAAACGGCGTCAATACATCTGTCAATCAAATTTGTTTGTCGAGTCTGGTAAAAGGTCCATTTTATAATTTTTCTGGTAAAAGGTCGGTCTGGTAAAAGGTCGGTCCCCGTTCAAACCTGTAACGATGAGAAAACTTAGCAACACTTTAGAGTCAAACACGTGGTCAAAAATTACAGACTTAATAAAACGGATGAAAGTTTTTTGCATAGAACTAAAATATTATACAGCATTGTCATCAAACACTACAAAAAATACGGAACTCAACTTGTTAAAAATCGATTTGCCAACTTTACTAGGATTACATAATCAGCAAGTTCAATTATCTAAACAGATGTACGTGGGCAATTGCCTGCAAGTGCATCCATTGTAGTAATCGGATAAATTTAAAGCAATTGCATTCATTGTATCAATTAGAGAAACTTGTAATTCAAACTTGAGTTTAATGTATAAATATTTGGATTCACAAACCATTGGAGATTGTATCTTCTCAATAGTCTCTACTACTAACAACAGCGATTTTTTAAAATTTCCTCTTTTTTCGGCTCTAGTGGTTTCGGCTTAAATAATGCCGGCGCAGTCGTCTCTTATTGTGTCGTTTTAAAGGCTAAAACAGGTGTGCGCGTGTGTGTGCGTGTGCGTGCAGGGATGTGCAATGACTTATTGTATGAACATTTTTTTGCTTTTTCTATACAGATTGTTTTGATCTTGCCAATTTATTGAATAGCTAGTGTCTGAAAAGTTTCATGTTTCTTTTGGACTGGTCAGGTCAATAAACCAAGGTCTTTGCAAGTTGTATATTGAAAAAATCGAGAGGTGAAAGACCAGTGGAAATCATTTAATAAACACCCATTGGCAAAAGTACAACACAGCATAAAAGATCAAGATTCCCCGTCAAGCAGTCAATCTAAGAATAGACGTTCGGGTATCAGCAAAATGCTCAAAACATTTGTTGTGGACCTGGAAGGAGCTTAAATCATTTTCATTTGTTGAGAGTGAGCTAACCCAAAACTTACCAAATTGGAACAGATAATCTACGAAAATAAATCCCTCTGAGACCACTGCTAATGGGTGTTGCTCGTTGGTATGACGCTGGTCAAACCTTTGGTATCTTGGTGCTTGGAACGGGGGCGTTCAACAGTGCCGAAGTACAACAGTGCCGAAAAAGGCGGGAAAATGTCAGAATAATTTACACGCATTTTCTAAAGAGCGGGAAATTACTGACGCGAATTATCAAAGAAAATCACTCCAATTTTGGCGCCAATATGTCTGCAACTGTAAATTAAACAATTATTTTGGTGCCAAAACGTGTAAGCTGCAAATTTTCTTGCTCAAAATCTTAAAGTTTTACTTAAGATTGTAAGCGAGCGCTGTTTAATTTTTGATTGCCGCACTTAATATGTTGAAATTTGGGTGACGTCCCATTTATACCAACGGTCATTTGTACCAAAATGAAAAATCGGTCCCATTTTTACCAAAATTATTCAACTCGATTTCTGATTGGTCGAATTATGAGCCAACGAATTATTACATTAATTTTCTAGAAAGAAAGAAAGAAAGAAAGAATTAATTTCTCAATGTTACTAGAAAATTCATATCATATTCCGCATAAATACATCATTATCGAAGAGGGGACAGCTAACGATCCCATAAGGGATACTAAATGCTGCCCCAAAAATATTAGAAACATGAATGATGTAGTTAGTTGGGTTTCAAATTATTATGAAATCTAGTGCATAAATTCTACATATTTGCAAAAATAGAACGAACAAAAAAGGTGAAATATAAAATCATACATTAGAAGGTCTAAAGGCCTACTCAGAAATGGCATGATTTATCTCCGTTTTAAGTAACACACAACATAACACGCAAATGTTAATGAACTGATTATAATATTTACCTAAAAAAAATACAAGTTTTTTCCTTTCATTTTAAGCCTTGGCATGAATATGAAATTTCTAAGTGATTTTTAGGAAAAACGAAAAAATTGGGCATAGGTTCCCCCTCAAGCGGGCCATTTCGGCCCATTTTGGAAAAAAATTATGTTTTTTTTTTTTTTTTTTTTTTAGTTCTTAATGGATGCGCCACTTTTCCGAGACTTTTATTCAGTAATCTAAACTCACAAAGAGTCCGTCGTACTAGGTTTTCCGGGGATTATGTCAAAAAAAATCTCGGGTCCGTGGAGCAGCCATGCTATTTTAATAATTCCTATTATTAAATCTATTTTCCATCTATCCATCATATGCAAAAAAATATATCTTTTAGGAATAATTCAATTTAATTCTGGCAAAAGATAAATTTGATGAGTTCTTCGTTGCTTAGAATGAACAGATCTCTAATTCGGTGAGCCACGCTTTGAATTTTTGGCTGTGAAAAATTAGTGATTTCATTGGGCATTAAAAAGTTCTGTTTAAGTAAATTGTAAAGTTTCGTTCCCCTGTAACTTATCGACATTCTCTGCATTTTGGTTTTTAAATAAGGAATTTTCATCAACTCTGAATTGGCTTCAAACAGAAGAAAACTAAACAGCAGAATAGTGACCGCCACAGTCGCGCCAACGTGTTGCGAGCTTGCCAACAGAGGGTAGGACTCTATACGAAAATTAGAGCCGGTTATCGCCGCAAAGCGGCTACGCGCGCGTAGCGCGCCCACCGGCGACCTTAAACCAAGAGCTTAAAGTAGTCGGCTTAATAGTCTTAGGCCAATTGAATTTTTTTGGTACTAACGCAATTTATTTTTTATTTTGGTACAAATGGGACTGATTTATCATTTTAATACTTGTGAATACCCACCGAAATTTGTTCAAATTTTCGGCACTGTTGAACAAAGTTTTCATTTTCGGCACTGTTGAACAAAGTTTTTATTTTCGACACTGTTGTACTTCGGCACTGTTGTACTGCCCCCTTGGAACTGAAACCGGTAATTCAAGAACAGTCCTTGTTGGAAGGTTCACTGATTCATCGTTAACTGAGGCCAGG